GGGGGGCCCCCCCCCCCCCTGGGAGTTGGGCACGAAAACATATGTCTTATAAATTATAAAGCAGTCGAAAGACCAATGAACAGAAGTGCTCAAGAAAACATATAATTCTTAAAATCGATAGGAAATGTTATTTTGCCACGAAGGTAATCTTCCAAAAACATATCGAGAGTCTTCATTACGTGAAACTTGAAATGCACAATGTCATGCTCCTTGTACCATGCAACCTCGGGACCGCCGGTACCTCCTGGATATGACCTGGTAAATGGGTAAACATCAAGGACCTCTAAGCCAGCCTGGCACATAAGGGACGTGGCCAAGGAATTGTAAAGCTTTACACGCTGAAAAAGAACGAAAACGAACCAAATCAAATTTGGATAATTTTACACCTAAAGGCTAATTAACTTTTTGGCCCGTTTTATGGACAAGAACTATGTCGATAAGAGGTTTCATGCCACAGACCTAGATGCACGAGAAGGAAAGACCTTGCTGCTTGAATAGAAGAAAGAGAACGAGCTGTCACTTTCCCATGAGAAAGCACCATACCAGGTGATGTACATGTGCATCCGGGAATTCAGTGAGTGAGTGTGTGTGAGCGGGAAACAACGAGCGGACGTGTACTTAATGTGCTCCGGTTAAAAGATATGGCTTAGCCTTTGTGGCGTGCCTTGGTGGCTTAAAAACACTTAACCGGGTTACTGCCATTGTGACCATCAGCTCCGTTAAAGAATATATGCTTATTATATACTGACCGGTAAAGCCAGAAATCGTCGCCGATCACTTTTTAACTGGCCTGCCGTGTCTTTTTCTTTGCTAATCGAAGTTGAGGTTTTCCAAATAACTCGTGTCTTGTACTTTAACTCGCCAGTTTCTTTGTTCCTTTCTTTTAAAATATTAATAACTTTCTTAATTAGTAGTTGATAATCTTGCAGGGTCGTACTCTCCATGTAATGAAGTCCAAGATTCATAATCATCACGCTGTTTTTGTTCATCTCGGGTCTCTCCAGGACAGCTCGGAGGCTGTCAAGGATTACCGTGTCATCGTAGTCTTTGTCATCCCAGGGGGGAAACTGTTCACGGTATGGATACACCCACATCTTACTCAGGTTACAAGATTTAAAGATCTCTGTGCAGAGAGGTCCATCCTTTATCGACCAATAAAATCTTTCAGCTTGCGAGTCTCCGTATATCCAGAGAGTTTCTAGCCTAGAGGTGTCGATCTCTGCTTTCTTGGGTTGATTATGGCTTGGAGTATCTGTGGAGAAATCATTCAATAAGACTGTAATAGATAAGCGTAAAAATATTTAACCTTTTTGACAATAAGTCAAAATTTCATTGAGCGAAGGAGCTAAAAAATACTTTTGCATTTTCAAGTCCGTTTGTTAGGTTTTTTTTTTCTTTGTGTTTTTTTTTTGTTGCTTGTTTACTCGTTTGTTTGATAACGTTATTGGTTTTAAATTTACGTTTGTCCGTTGGTTTCAGCTTTCAGTTGGTGGTGGTTGTTGTTAATGGGCTCTTACTCTAGTTTCAGTGAAGTTAATTCCTTTCCCGCCTTTCACATATAGTCAAGACTTCTCTCGCGTCACGATAGGCTCACGTGAGAAAGTGTAGAGAAAATTCTCGATTTTTCGTGCAACTTTATAATAATCTTTTATGTTCAGTCATCTCAACGACCCCCTGAGCTCTTTGAGAACGAGAAGCTTCGCATGCTATACCATACTTTTCTCTAGAGAACATGGAATTTCTCTATTTTTCTGTATCCATAGGAATACAGAATATGTTGTGGAATCCCGTCGCAAATCGCAAACAATTTCTTGAATACTGTCACTAGAACTTTCACAGTACCCACAAGATTGATGCCGAAAAGGATTTTCCTCATAGAAGCCAACCTTGAAAAAATGAGATCACCACAAATGCGCGGAAAGGTGCAACAGGGAATTTAATTTAAGTTACTCACCTCTAAGATACGGCTTCCAATTCTTGCCAAGCCATCGGCCAAATCCATCCCACATGTATTTGCATTTAATGCCACACGTTAAGTCAAACTTGGAGGAGAGACAAGAACGGTCTGGCAATCGGTTTAATAAAAATGCACCTTAGAGCACAAGAGAACATCAAAAACACACGAGAATCAGTAGTTTGCGAGAATCAGTATTTTACGAGTATGACGTGGTAGTAAATACGCTTACAGTGGACCGGCTGATATTTCATTTGTCACAAAGGTGGAATTCTCGCTCTTTTTGTTGATATGGCTTCACGTTTCAATTTGTAAATCTCTTAGAAAATCACAGTACATATACATGATACTTTTAGAGTCAGTTTACGGCAATGTTGATTCCTGGTTATGTTTGAATGAAACTTGATTCATTCTGCAAATGTGTTTGTCAGTTTCGCGTCAATAAATGAAAAAAAAATTTTAACTTCGTACTCAAATGTTAGCCCGCTAGGTATGTTTTCCGCATGTTTGTTCTGAACATTTTGGACCTTGTCGCGTTATATATATTGTCACATAAAAGGTTCTTACTACATAAGGGTACAAGGTAACGATTGTACGCCCTGTTTAGGCCCTGGATCAAACTTCAGTTTTTCAAACCCTGCGAGCTAAACCAAGTTGGTAGTAATCCGACAAAGATATAGTATCTTACTATATGGCTAGCTCCGTGAGCGGGCAAGATGAATCAAATCCTGCGCTGTGATTGGCTACCCGAGCGGGCAAGATGGAGAAACCTTACCCGCTCGGGACTACCCGTCGTGTCCCGCGAGAAAAATTTCCCCGAAAGCCATATAATAAATCCTTTATTGACCAAGCTTGTTCGGTCAAGATGGCTGGATATTGGCCTCGTTCTTTTTTTTGCGAGTTTATGGACCTCGACTCCGTCTCGGTCCATAAACACGCCAAAAAAGAACTTGGCCAATATCCAGCCATCTTGACCTCACACTTGGTCCATAACCCATACATATTTAACTTTTCCTTCCCCATTACCTTACCCCTAACTAAGCTGCAATAACCATCCGCGTCTTTGCCATTTAGAACACTTCCCCAGATTTTAAGGCAGAAAAATAATTCAACTTCTAAAGCGATAAGCATATCTAAAAGAAAGTTCCGTTTTGTTTTATTCTGAAAAGGTCCCTTACCTCCATCTCTAGGCAACGGTATGTTGATCATGTGGAGTTTTCCATTCTGGAACGGTTGAAGAAGGTAATCTTCCTTTGAACGGTTTAGGCCGAGCGTGCCAGCTTTTTGCATTTTACCTTGAGAGTTTCCTTTTCAAAACAATAACATCATGAAGAAGCTGCATTACTGCACACCAATCGAGGGAGAAATGTAAACCTTGACAATTAAAAAGAGCCTTAAATCTGAGATTTTTAGAAAATTTATAGGTACAATATTCCTTTGTAAAAACTGGCAAGCTCGGGGTCCCATGTTTCCATGAGTTTGCAACAGATTCTAATGAACCTTAATTTCCATATTTACTAAACATTAAAGTTGACCGGAAAAATCGAGCGCTGAAGCGTTTCTTTTGTTTCAACGAAAAAATCAGAAAAGCGTGCCATCGTGGAAGTGGTCCATTTCTTCCTCCTAGACCGCGCTCGGCTAGTTCAGCCGTCCAACGTTTCTTTGGTTGTAAAAGGACAAATTCGGCTGAGTCTTAATAGCGGATATCCCTGCCCGCAGACCTCCATGGGTAAACCATGAGTAAACCGTGAGTAAACCATGAGCAGTCCGGAATATCCCGATAAATTAGGACAGTCATGACGTCATGAAGCTATTGTTAGCAGGGAAAATGGCGGACCTTTTCCGCGGACCAAGACAATATGTTGTTTCCAGTCTCGCATAGAGTCTGGCCGGCATTATCCAGGACTTTTTGCGACCAAACGTTGAGAAGGAGAATAAGCGGCCATTTTGGCAGTGGGAGAACGTTGACTGTCTTCTAATCATTGAGTTTTTTTGGTGTCAAGCGACGATGTAGACGCGATTTTGTGGCCAAATATTAAGGTTAGTAAAGT